GTGGAAACCGAGTCCAAATGGCTCTTTGGGTGTAAAAGGTTGCAGACCCCTGCACTAGCCCATTCAAAGGTTAACTACTCCTTTACCAACCCTTACACATCAGTGTATGTGCCCTATTAGTCTTTTTAAATAGCTTATTTTTAGGTAGTTCAGCCTTTATATTGGACAGGACAGCAGGGCAGAAGAAAAGGTGGTGCAGGAGGATAGTCACACAGGAAATGACCCGGGTTCCTGCAGTAACCTTTTGGTACATCTGTCACCTGCTCAACACAGTGAGCTATACCAGCGTGAAACGCATGAAACGTAAAAGCCTGAAAAGCCTGAAAATTTGCTCTGACAGCTGAATAATAAAAAAGCTGATATTGATGTCTGTGTACCATCAGTGCCCATTAGATGCATCTCTGTCAAACCAAAAGAAATCCTTCTTTTAAGCAAACTAATAGTTTTGTTACCGTCTTGAAACTAAATTAATTCCAGCTTATGTCAGGAAATGATTTGTGATAATCAGCAGCGTCATCATTCCGACTGTCGATACATATCCATCAGTCTCAATGAGTCTCTTTGTCAATAAGCACAACTCCACAGGACTCAACTCCACAGGCTGCCAGCCGGTCGTATTCTGGTTATATTCCAATAGAACATGAAGGTTACTGAGTGCAAATGTAACAGTTAACAGTGAATTTTTGTAAACCAAAAAACCCACCAGAAAGTAACGTTTTTTTGAACAAAACAAAGAAGAAAAACAAAAGACTTGGTGATCACGTAGACTCAGGGTCTCGTCTCAGCCGAAATTGTCTGCTCTGAAAAATCAACTTTCCTTTTGTTAAATTCTGCGTATGTTGTGTGAAGAAGCTCGAGTGACGTGTGGCTGGATTTAAATGTCGGCAGGCCGCGATTTTGACACGTGGTATAGACTGTAAAAATTATTATTTTTCCTAAGCAAGAAACAAGCATTGTTGTTTTCACATATATGGTTACACCCAGCAGCAGTGCCCATGATATCTATCTAAACTGAAAACAGTACTCAGTCAGGGTTTGAATAATTAGGACCAGAAATTCTGCAAACAAATAGAGATGTGAAGAAGTCTTTTTTTCACATTTGTCACGCTTATATGTTTTGCATCAAACTCATTTTAATATCTACGGAAGAGGATTAGGGTCACCAAAAGAAAAAAAAAAGTGGGCACATCTTTTTTTTTT